ACCAGTTGTACCAGAAAAAGTTCTTGCCTGCCATATACCATACCAGGGATTTAAGGAATGAAAGGCACCATTTCCTGCCACCCCACCTTGAAGCCATCTTACATATCCTATAGTATACACTTTGAAAATAAAATTTAAAAAACAAATGTACTATGTTTTACTTCAGAAACTGACCAAGGTGTGGTCACATAGAATTCTGCATGCATTTTGTTAAGTAACTTTACATGTACATACTACCCACTTTTGAGAATAACACTATCTACGAACAAAAACAATCTAATATCTAGCACCTTATCTTCAAGAACACTTATATTTTATATATAGTTATAGCTTACATTTAAGAGAATTACTACAAAAGAGAATACACCACTGAAACAGGACAAAAATACCAAACTTTTAACATTAAAGTTGTAATACGGATGAAGGGGGGAAAATCCACTCAAGTTTGAAGCACCGAACTAAAACCAATCTTGTTTTTATCTATTTTAGAACAAGAAATATACAGTAATTAATCCTCAGACATAGCAAACCTTCTGTAAATGTACAAGTTCATGTGGCTTCCCCTTGGTGTGTATACTCTGAGATATGGAGGCTTTGGGAGGCAATGATGGAAATACCTAACTCCTATTGGCAACCTTCATTTACCTTGAGGATTCTGATCCAAGAAGCAGTGAACTTGCCAGGGACCTGGCAGTCAGTGGCCAAGTTGGTTTTAGCTTTCTTACTTCTTCCTCTGGCCATTTTTATTTTATTTATTCATTAATTTTTTTTCTTATAGCAGGAGACTGGTATTAAGCAAGCTGGGCATTTGCCATAAAGGATTGCACATAATTGTGGCAACAGTTTCTCTTCTTTGGGGGATTTTAGGCTATGGTCTGCCATTTCTAGCTCATGCTTCTGTCTTCTCATGCCTAAGCTTGGAGGGGCTTTCAGGGGCCAAGAGCACCAGTCCAGCCCACAGAAAATAAGAGACAGAGATAAGGAGGAAGAAGGTTAGAAGCTGTGACTGACCAGATTTTCTCTCCTTATCTTGGCACCTGGCTAGCAGCCAACTGTTCCTTTAATCTTTTGTCTGCTATAGAAGGAAAAGACTGTTTTACTTAGAGAAAGCTCTCCTGACAACATGGGGTTTGTCTTAAAGAGGAATACAACAGAAAATACATTATAAGGTTGATTTTTTCCCTCAAAATATGGGGGAGGGCAGTTATTAGAGAAAAATATGGTCCAGTAGGTTAAATTGTTACTCTCTGCTTTATCCCAAAGACCCCTGAGGGTTTTATCTTAGGGAGTTCGAATTACTAGAGGATGCATAATCTTTTCTCCTTCAAATGGTGTGTTTCAGACACTTTATAGAGCTTTTTGGCAAAATCTAAGAAAGCAAGCCTAGTTCAGTCATGTAAATTACTCTTCAGGTAGTATGAAAAATTCTTCTGAAAATTTGACCTATCTTAATTGGCTAATTATGTATAAAATAAGGCAATGTTAGGCACCTTATAATTTTCTAGGAAAAAGTTTTTTAGTGCTTTTTTTGCTGAAATAATTGGACAGTATCTACAGGATTGAATGTGCTTCCGAAACTATTTTGTATCAGATAGTCTTTTTGGTAAGAAATGAGGTGCCTACCTCCTCCTAAATCATACAATGTCACTTTTCCTTACCTGTTGAATTTGAAGTAGGTATCCCATCATCTCTAAATTGGATTGGAGTTGGGGAGGAGACAGAAAAATACCTTTAATTGCTGGTCACTCTCTGGTTCACTTCTCTCCTTCCTGCTTCCGTGGCCCCCAGGTCCCTGTGAATCTCATAGCTCTAGGTTTGGAAGGGATGGATGGGAGAATGAGTCAGCACACAGAGCTTCAAGCATGGGGTATTCCTGAAGGGCCAGCACAGCAGGGGGAAACAGAGTGAAGCAGGAGAAGGCAGTGGGCATGGTGGCAAGAGGTAGGCAGGGAGCTGGAAGTGCTGAGGACTTGCCAGCAGCTGGTATTTGTGATGTCTTAGAGAAGAAGGACACTCGCATCATAGAAGTCACAGAAGCCGAGGGTTTGCTCCTTATTTCTGCCTTCCCAAGCTTGTTGAAATTGGTGTGTTAGTCAAAGCACCTGCGACTCCTTGGCAAACTAGATGCTCTATTATTCTTAAATAAGGAAATCATTAAATTTAAAATCACATCATTTCAAAGTCTGGTTTGTCTGGCCCCCGCACTTTAATGGGATTTTTTACTGCACATATGAAGTGGCCTTGGCAAAAGAATACATCCTTTAAAAACATTTAGGGAAAGCTATTGCACATGAGGATCTGTGAGGCTAATGATGACATTTTTTTTGTGTGCTTTCAGATTTTCAAATGGCAAAACAGTATGTGCAGTAAAACCTCATTAAGTTGATCGTGCTTTATTCAAAATAGCACAAAATTTGAAGCAGTTGCTATCTCTAAGCTAACCAGAGGCCCTATTGTTCATTAAGAAGAAAATGTCATCAAAGCAGAATATCCTTAATTCAAAGGTACTCGTTCCCAGCTTCCTATTTTCAAAAGGTCTTCACCCTTTGAAGAATCCAATTTGCCAAAAGAAGGGATGATGACTAGAATAGGGAACTTTAAAAGGAACCGGTGAGTCTCGGCACTCTGGAGAATGTTAAATGGACTTACCACACTTGTACAGGCTCTGGTTCCATTTTGGTTTGGGATTTTAGCAAACAATTTTCTCTGATACACTTTGAAAAGGTTGAGCTTTAAAAATAAAACAAGAAGTTCAGTTTCAACAAAATGTAGGACATACTGATGTTTGAAATTCTGTTTCTTATTCAGATAAACAACCATTTCTACCCGAAAGGCAGGCTGCAGCTACATTGGATTCCTTTGATGATTATAGTCCTGCAATACCCCTCCCTCCACGAGAGGACCGACCACATTAGCCATTCCTTCACCCTATGTCTTTTAAGGACAGGTCAATTCAAGAGTTGGGAAATAAATTAGTATAATAAATTTATGACTATTAATTTTCTTTATAAATTTGGGTAGAAAAATAAATGATAGTGTGAGGGTGAACTTCAGCCCCAGTGCATTGTCTGAATCACCACAAATTCTAAGTTAATGGAGTTGGAATTAATATGGTTTTCATGAATATATTGATTTGACAGGTCAGATCAATTTTATTCAGTCCTATCCCCTCTTGTTTTCTACATTCGGAACATGACAACCCCAAGTTTCCAGGCAGACTTATTCACAGCCCAAATACATTGCTGTTTACCTCTCCCCCTTGAGAAGCGCATGTTGGAATCTGTGAGAAGGAAGAGATAAAAGAAAATATAAATGAGCTGGGCATTTATATCAATGAAAAGATGAGTTCTAATAAAGACATGGTGATCACACAAGATGAGGCTAAAATCTGAATATGACCATCTTTATACACAACAACCTGTTTAACCATTTTTCCAACCAAATATTCCCTCCTCTCCATCCACCATATTAACACTGAATTTCTTCATGACCAGCTAGTTGGCTGTAGAGCTGCTTTAATTTCATCTTCAAATCACTATTTTTTTTGGTTCCATGATATTTGGTCTTTAGATAGGTCCTGTGCCCTCAAAAATTCACAGGTATACCTTGGCCCAAAGTGATTTCAGCCTTTGGGACTTGAAAACTCTCCCTCTGTAGTTATTCTACAGGTTTCTCCAAAGTCAACAGCAGTAATTAGGAGAGCTCTAACTAGAATGCTTTGATTTCAGATTGTTTGGAATAGATCAGGTATTGTAAATCTGTTCTCTCTGTCATTTCTGACTCTCTTATATTTTTATCCTGCATCTGGAGAGAGCTTAAAAGCTTTGGAGAGGGACACAGGTTGAAAAGACATGGGTGTATATGGAGAAAGGAAAATGTTCAAATGCCTTACTTGTTCCCCATGTGGACATTATTCTACTTCTTGTCCATGAACTCACAGACACAAAAGAGATTTCTGATGGGCATATCACTCTTAATAAGTAGTGTGAGCTTTTTAAAGAATTTTGGCTACTCCTAGTTGAAATATTTTTCTGGAAATACTGATTGAACAAAAAGCGTATTTGAAATAAAACAAAGCACAAGTGATGGACAGAGATCTGGTGGATTCCCATGAGCACTCCAATTTAGTCACGAGAGGGAAATTATAAAATAACACCATGATTTCTGTCCCACTATTATTCAAACAAGAGAAAATATTTTAGTGTCAGTTGACAAATTTCCATCTGCATGGAGAGAACTCAGTCCCAGCCCATGTATAAACCCAGTATTTGAGAGAGAGGAAAAAAACACCATTTGTTTGGCCCCGTGGATGTGCGTTATTTCTCCATTGATTCCCTTGGACTAGCTTCCCATTTCATACATGCCCTTCCACTTTTCTGGATCCCTTTAGGAAATCTAGAAACTTTCTTGGTGTTTCAACTATTGAATGCCTCTGTCTTCATCTGTGTAAGTCTGCACCAGATTGTGGATCTCTTCATTTCCGAATTTGACTCATACTTTGATCAGTCTATCAGATTCTGTTTCTTGGGCTCCACAAATGATTTGGTCCATTGCTTTTCTTTCAGTTGAACATAAACTCTAGCCCTGGTCCATGAGCTCCTGACATGAGGGCTACAAAGTCTTAAGTCCACAGGCATCATCTTTCTTTTCCCCTCAGAGCCAAAGCTGGCATGTTATAGCTCTGGGTACACAAGCAGAATACCAAGTACAGTTCCAATATGGATAGCCCTTGTTGCTTTTAGAAATTTAGAGCCTAATAATTTTGGGGGGAGGCGAATTTCAGTCAGAATCCTCAAGTCCATGCTTTGAGGGGCACACTGACCCAAGTTCCCACTTTTCCATGTGTTTATCTACCTAGTAGTGAAAAGGAATGTGTGTTTGACACCTTTGCCTGAAATGGGATGTATTAGCATTAATGGGAGTGTGGGTGGTCTATTGAAAAGAAAGCTGCTTTTGTTTACTGTCTTGTGGACAGTTCAAAATTTGCCTTACAACTAACTTCAAGGCGAAGTAGCAGAATCGTGGGAAGGGACAATCTTGCCTTCTGTGCCAGCTTCGGTTCCAGGTAGGTCTGGGTGGCTGTCTTCTTTGGGGGGCTTTTCCTTGCAGAAGAACTTCTTCAGCATATCCTGGATTTCCTTCTTGATGGTCTTGTGCATGTAGCCATAAATGTAGGGATGGATACAGCACTGCAGAAAGAAGAGCCAGATTATTATGGTTATCACCCACTGGGGCACCTTGGTTTGGACATCCACCCACACAGCCAGGACTGCTAGAAAGCAGTAGGGCCCCAGAGATAGCACGTAGGAGAAAATGATGAGGAAGATCACTTTAGCAGCTTTGCACTCATAGCACCTGGGCAGAGGAGGGTGGCTGTTGCTGTTTCGCCGGCTGGGTGGGAGGCTCTCTGGGATGTTCACTGCTTCGACATCATCCTCACTGAAATGGATGTCATCCTCCCCAAACTCCAGGTCATCTTCACCCAAGTCGATGTTGCACTGGCTGACCTCTACACGGCCCTTGTCTGCCTTCATGCTGCTCTCCTCAACGTTGGTGCCAACTTCCTTACCCTTCATCCGGCTGTCACTGACCAACTCGGTGCCCTGGGCCTCCATGATACCCTCAATGATCTCCACATTTCCTTCCTTGGCCTTCAGGCTGCTGTCCTTGGCTTCCATGGGGTCCACACTGGCCTCCACGCTGCCCTCCTTGGCCTTGACCACACCTTCATCCTGGCCGTGGACCTCGCTCTCATCCTGGAACTCATCCTTCTTCTTTCCTCCCCGTTCATCCTCATTCTCCACGCAGTCCTTGACCCGCACCTCCAAGCTGTGGCTCTTGTTGTACAGCAGAGCATGCTGCCGACGGGCTGCACCAAACACCACGGAGTAGCAGGCAATCATGACAACCAGTGGAATGACAATGAAGGACACCACACTGAGAATTGTGTAGCTCGGGCTGGCCCCCCAGATCATGGAGCAGAGGGCATTGCGCTCATCAAAGGCAGCCTGACCCCAGCCATAGAGTGGGGGTGTGCTCTGCAAGATGGCCACGATCCAGGTGCCATAGAGAAGCATGTAACCACGGCGATGGGTCATCTTGGATGGGTAGGAGAGAGGGTGAATGATGGACAGATAGCGATCTATGGACACCACAACAATGGTGTTGACACTGGCGAAAGCGAACAGGTGGGTGAGGCTAACCAGGGCTGTGCAGAAGTGACTGTTAAGGGGCCAGAAGAGAGGCACAGAGGTGGCCACCACCCAGGGGGCAACGAGAGAAATTTGCAGCAGGTCGGTGACGAGGAGGTTAAAGATGAAGCGGTTGGTCACCTGCAGCAACTGCGGCTTGCGCTGCAACACCAGCGCCAGCACTACATTGCCAACGAAGGAGACCGTGAGGAAGACGAGCAGCACGGTCGAGCGGATGATGCCGTGAGCCAGGCTAATAGGCATTTTGGACAGGGGCATGCACGCTTGGCTGTTGTTGCTCTCCCGCGTGCTGTTGGGACAAGGGGATGTCATGGCGATTGCAGGCAGGCGCAAGATAGGGTGCAGGGCCAGTGAAGTCACCGGTGGGCAGCGAAGGGGTGTAAAGACCGCACACAGTGTTTTTGCTGGGAATGAAAAAAACATGCGGGCGGGGTTAGTCCCTTGCCCAGAGAACGCTCTAAGTCCAGCAGGATCCCTCCCTTAGCTCCCTGAGCGGTCACAGCCCCAGCCAGGGCAATTTCTCTGACCCCTTCCCCAGCTCTCAGGGTCTCTCTGCCGGACTCTTTCACGGTCTCTGATTTCCACTCGTCCGTCTCTACTGCTAGCGCGTGCGCGCGAGCTCCTAGCGCGTCTCCCACACTGTCTTATTAGAGTTTTTTTGGTCTCTTCAGCTCGCTCTCTCCCTCTGGCGCATGCGCGTGCGCTCTCTGTACCTGCCTGTTTACAATCATAGATCTCTGTCTCTCCAGTGTCTCGCTAGCGCACTTTTCCTGTATCTCTCAGAGTGTATGAGTCTCTCCGTGTCCTCTGATGCTCTCTCATCCCTGTCTTTCACTCTGTCATCTGTCTCTGTTTCTTGTCTCTAACTAGCACGTGCACAGTCACTCTGTCAGTCTCTGTCGCTTCCTTCTCTATTATTCCTATCTCTCCCTCCCACTCTCAGTTTCTCTGTCTCTCAGTGTCTCTTTCACCAGCCCACTTTCTCTGTAGCTGCACGTATGCCTGTCCTTCCTGTCTTTCTCCCAGACTCGTCCCTGTCTCTTCCAGTGGCGTCCGTCTCTGTCTCTTTCTGCCTGTCACCGCCTGTCCTTCCAGTGCTCCAGCTTTTCCCTGTCTGATGCTGTCTCGTCTCTCCGTTCCTCTCTCAGGAATTTCCCCGACAATCTATCTCTGTGGTTCTCAAGCACGTTTGTTCAATATCGCTAGTTGTGTCTCTGCAAGTCTCATAGTCTCTCCAACTCCCTTGTTTTAGTGTCTCTCTCGGGTTCTATCTCTATGGGTGTCTCTCTCTCTCTCTCTCTCTCTCTCTCTCTCTCTCTCTCTCTCTGGCTTGTTTCTCACT